CATCCCCGCCTTTCCTCATCCCCTCAGCCCCGCCCGGCGTTCCCGGGGCCGTGTGGGAGCTGTAGTTCATTCCCCACATCCCCTCAGCGCGGTGCCGTGCCCGGGGCCGTGTGGGAGCTGTAGTTCCGCGGTGACGCGGGCGCATCGCCGCCACCTCCTCGGCGCTCCGGGCCGGTCCGTGTGGGACCATGGCCGCCCGCTCCCTGCGGCGCCTCGGGGCCCTGCTGCCCGCGGCCGGCAAGGCCGGCACAGGCAGGTACGTGGGGCGAGCCGGGCCGGGCCGGGCCGGGCAGGGGGGACAGGGGTGGCCCGGAGCCGCGGCTGTCGGGGACAGACGTGGCAGCGCTGCGGGGCCGGGCCCGGGCGGGCGCCGCGCCGGGGGCGGGAACGGGAGCGGATCCGAACCCCAACCCCAATCCCAACCATGAGGCTGGCCCGGATCTGGACCCCGACCCGAACCCACAGCCGGACCCAGACCCGGACCTGCATCATCCCCGCCGCTTCTCATCATCCCCCGCCGCTCCCCATCTCATCCCCCAAAACGCTGCGGTTCTCCTCAGAACGCCCTGCAGCTGAAATTACCCCCGATAACCAAGCTCTTTTCCCGGAAAAGTGATTTTTTTTTGGCGTGAATTAATACTCGTTTTTAAGGCAAAGCGTTTCCGCGCTCGGTAAGTCACGTTGGGAGGTGGTTTCCTGGCACTGTGGGTGGGTTCTGTGTGTCGCTGAACCATTTATTCATTAATTACGGCTTTTATGTGCTCCTCGGGTTTTGTTTCTGATGCTGAGGCAGCACATGTGCTATCAGTGTGTTTCGGGTGGTCGCAGGAAGATAATCCATTTCATTGTGTCAATATTTAGACAGAGGAACAGTGTCCACTCATGCTTTTTTCTATCGTGGCATATGGCTTAGAAAAAAGAAATCAATAAAGGTGCTTTGGTTATTTGAATGACGTATGGGCAGGTGAAAAGAAAAAAAAAGCCAAAATGCCTGTTAATTTATTTTTGTCTATAAGAGAAACACCACTAAAATACTATTTAAATGTAATATAATAAATCTGCAGCACATAATAAAGGCAGCTATGTTTGGGACTAAATGTAGATGCATGTCAGGAAATTCTCCCTCTTACGTGAGTGAAAATTGCTTTGCCTCCCTAAAAAAGGTGCAATGAGTGCTTTACCATCTTCGTGTCCTTCTTTTGTATACTCTCTAAGAGCTTTAGGTCTTTCTTACATGCTGGAAGCCAAAACTGCCCCGGTGCAGAACAGAGCGGGACAATCCCCTCCTTCCACTGGATTATCTCTGGAGTCACTCCCTGATGAACTAGCGCCGAGGAATTGGGAGTAATTAGATTTCCTTCCAAAGCAGGCTCATCAGAGCTGAAAGCAGTGCAGATGTCTGTGTGTGTCTCAGCACTTTGTCATGCTGATTTGGGAGGAGGAGGGAGTGTTCCAGGACGGATGGGGAAGGACCCTTGCCTTAGACAGAGCTGATTGTCACTTTGGAATGGTTGGGTGCTCCAGAAAGAGGTGCTACCGTTTTACCTCTGACCAGAAACCCTCTCTCATCACTGAAATATTAATCTTGAAGGACAATTGGCTTGAGCCATATGGCTGCAATCAGCTTCTCTGCTCTTTCTTATCTCTTCGGCTTTCTGTGACATCACCCTGTAAATCTTTCTGTAGCACCAACTTGTGTAACTCCCTTCACACGCCCCGCGACTTCAACGTGCCTGGCGCTTCAGGATGTGTCAGCTTCCTCCCGTGGGATCCGTGCCTATTTTTAGGGTAGCTGTGATCAAACCAGCCTTTAGAAGATGGAGCCCAGTCAATGGACAGCCTGTAAATAGCTCCTGCCACTTGTTGGGGAGGATTCCTTTCATCCTGCAGGAAGGAGTAAATTCAGCGGCATTTTCAACCCTGCATAACAGACCTGAAGAATTCCCTTTGGAGTCAGGCTGTGATTTCTTGGCCATAACTTTTCCAGGCAGCGTGTGACAGCCAGAGCATGTCCTTGTGCTCTGGGATTTGGGATTTGGGATTTGGGTTCAGAGGCTGCGGACAGGAGTCCATGCAGGCAGCTCCCTGCTCCACGTAGGCAGCTGGGAACGGCTCCTCCATGCCCATCTCCCACGCAAAACACGCCCTTCCCTGCACTGTAACCGCTGGTAGAGGGAAATACCTCCCTAACTCTGGCTTCTTGGGCACAGAGGAGTTAACTGAGCTGCACAGCCTATTTTTAAAACACAGGAGTTTCACCTCTGAGGGGCCCAGAGAGATTTCTCTGGGTTCTTTGGTTCATCTGTAGCGTGGCTGATTTCCATCCCTGCAGCTCTTTGAAATGAAATATGAGATGATAAAGGATAAAGCTTGTAGCTGGTGCTTCCCATGGATATTTTTATGTACAAAGAAAGCCTCAGATAGATTTTTGAAGGCTTGGTGAAGGGATACTGCTCTGTCTCCCCTTCTAGTTTAATCTACTTTGTCTAACTTTGATAAAGTGCAGTCAATAAAATGAATGTGACAGGAATCTTAATAATCATTCAGGATGGGGTCTTGTGCCCCAAACAGCAGCCAGGGATGAAATGTGGGGTTTTTTTCCCTGTATTTGCATTCCTGGAACTCAGATGGTTCTTTAAAGATTAGTCTGAGCAACATCCTACTCTAGAGCAAGTGTAAGTAGAGAAAGCACTTTCAGGTTTGTGTTTGGCACAATAATTTGTTGAAAAGGAGTGGTCTGACATACAGATGATGTTTTAAGTACCCACTTAATAAAAACTGCACATGCAGATGTCCTCAGGTG